ATAAAATGTAAATCTGTATAGCATTTTTAATTTTACAAATAATTGAACATGAAGCGAAATACAACACACACAAAAACAGCTTTAAAAAATAGCAAATGTGTATACATGATCGTTGCGTTTGCTGTTATTATGGTAGGTCCACTAACTAGAGCGCTAATGATTTCTTATTTCTATAACCTCACACCCCCAGATATTAAAAGATCAGACACAGCAGCTGTTCAATGTTCTTCATGATCAACAACCTCAAGTTCCAGTGACAAATGAAACAGACTCCACCAATAAAACGGTCAGATTTGATTTTATTATTTCACATTCTTATTTGTTTATAAATCAATCTTTTCTATCATTTTTAGGTATGGGTTGGATATTATATATATATTCCTTCTGTATAATTGAATTTATGGGTATGTTTTTTTTGTTTTACTGATGAAGGCGTGTGATTTGAATTTACATTTTGTGTAATCCTAAGCCTCTTAAAAGCTTTATTGCAGTTTTTGTTGTTGTTGTTAGTATATGTATATTATATTTTTTTATATCAATGTACAAATGAAGTACCGGGTAGTTTTAAGCTTTATTACGGTTTGGTTGGTTTGTTAAAGCTTGGTGACCCTTTACTCCCAATGCTTGTCCTACGATACATACTATTTCATAACCATGCTCAATAGAAATATTGTTGTTGAGCCTTCTCGTCCATGAGGGGCATCCACCGATCATCGTCGGCGTCTGCGGTTCCTCCAAGGGCATAGGCCACCTACGAGAGACCTCCAGGCATCTCTATCCTGGGCCAGCTTCTCCAGGATCTTCCATTCATGGCCAATTTTCTTGATGTCTGTCTCCAATTCTCGGCACCAAGTGTTTCTTGGACGGCCTCTTTTCCGCTTACCCTGTGGGTTCCATTTCAGGGCTTGCTTTGTTATGTTAGAAGCAGGTTTTCTTAGTGTATGACCAATCCACCTCCACCGCTTCTGGAAAATCTCTTCCTCAATGGGTTTCTGTTTTGTCCGCTGCCACAGTTCCTGGTTGCTGATTTTGTCTGGCCAGTAAATTCTGAGAATCCTTCTTAGACAGTTGTTGATGAAGGACTGGATTCTGGTCAGGTTTACAGCCGTTGTTCTCCATGTCTCGGCTCCATATAGCAGCACAGGTTTTACCATAGCGTTAAAAATCCTTACTTTTAACTTGCTGCCTAAGTTGTTAGAGACCCAAACATTCTTGAGTTGTTGGAAGGCTGCTCTTGCTTTTCCTATCCTTATTTTGACGTCCGCATCTGTACCACCTTGTTTATCTACCATGCTGCCAAGGTAAACAAAACTGTCCACCTCCTCAAGGGCTTCTCCTTCAAGCATAATGGGTGATGTACTGGTGGCATTAACCTTGAGGATTTTACTCTTCCCTTTGTGAATGTTGAGACCCATGCTAGCAGAAGTGGCTGCGACAATGTTTGTTTTCTCCTGCATCTGTTGTTGAGTATGTGCAAGAAGTGCAAGATCATCAGCAAAGTCAAGATCATCCAGTTGATCCCACAAGGTCCATTGGATGCCATTTCTTTTCTGCTGTGTAGATGTTTTCATCACCCAGTCAATGGCTAACAGGAAGAGGAATGGTGACAGCAAGCAACCTTGTCTCACACCAGTCTTCACCTGGAAAGCATCTGTCAACTGCTGGCCATGGATAACTCGGCAGTTTATCCCTTCGTACATGTTTCTGATTATATCAGTAATCTTCTGTGGCACCCCGTAATGCCTTAGCAATCTCCACAGGGTTTGCCTGTCAACACTGTCAAAAGCTTTTTCATAGTTAACAAAGTTGACATAGAGCGGCGAGTTCCACTCTAGTGACTGCTCTAGAATGATGCGCAGTGTCGCTATCTGGTCCGTGCAGGATCTGTTGGTGCGAAAGCCGGCTTGTTTGTCCCGCAACAGAGGGTCTACAGCGTTTTTCATCCTGTTAAGTAGTACACGGTTGAAAACCTTTCCTGGGATTGACAGCAGGGTGATCCCTCTGTAGTTCGAGCAGGAGCTTAAGTCTCCCTTCTTTGGGATCTTGATAAGGTATCACTCTTTCCAATCAGAAGGAACTTGCTCCTCTTCCCATATCTTCATAAACAGAGGGTGTAGCATTTCCACACTGGTTTCCAGGTCCGCCTTCAGTGCCTCTGCTGGGATGCCATCAGGTCCCGCAGCCTTTCCATTTCTGAGTTGTTTAATGGCCCTTCTAATCTCTTCTTTGGTGGGACTATTACAGTCAATTAGCAGGTCATTATCGGCTGGTTGGATATCTGGTGGATTTCTTGGTTCAGGCCTGTTCAGGAGCTCTTCAAAGTGCTCCTTCCATCTCCCTCTCTGTTGCTCCTCACTTGGTATGGTGTTTCCCATTTTGTCCTTCACTGGTCTCTCTACTTTGCTAAATTTCCCTGACAGCGTCTTAATGGTATCTCAATAGAAATATAATCAATTGAAAATAGATTAAATGGTTATTTTCTTTAAAGTTTTATTTTTCTTTTAAAAAGTTTCCTATGTATTTGATTTTTGGATTTTAAAAAAAAAAGTTACACAGTTAAATACATGATCATAGGAGAACAATTACAATAATTCTTGATTTGAGTTAATAGATATTGGTATGTTACTATTGCAAGAACATGAAAGCACTTTCACATGGATGCATGATTACTGCAAGGTACCAGAATTACAAGAGGAATCAGCAGGTGGTGACAAAAGTGTGCAGACAGACATTATTTTCAGGCACAAAATCAACACTGCAGTCAACACGGATATCCAGTTCAGTAAAGATGTTGCCACACAAACTGCAAATGAAAATGAGAGTGTTTCAACTGAAACAACTTTGCCAGCATTTACTTTTGAAGACATCCAAAACTGTTATGAGAAAGTACGTTTTTATACAGGATTTCCTTCTGCAAAATGTTTCACTGTGGTTTTTGATGAGCTGTCCCAACATGAGGATATTTTAAAGGATCAAGTAGGCCAGCGGAAAAGGCTAAGATTCATTGATGAGTTTTTTCTAGTGCTGATGAGAATCAGATTGGGACTTTAGTTAGAAGACCAAGCTGATAGGTTCTGTATTAGTCTGTCTACACGTAGCACTATTTTTACCAGGTGGATACACTTTTTGTATATTAATTTATCACCACTGATCCACTGGCCCTCAAGACAGCAAGTTGATTTTGTTCCCTCTTTCCAAGGTGTAGGATAATTATTGACTCCACTGAGTTATTTACCAACCGGTCTGCATCTTTTATTACTCAGTCTGTCATACAGCCACTACAAGTCAGGCACGGAAGGGACTAATAAGCATTACACCAAATTGGATTTTGTTATTTGTGTCAGATTTGTGGTTAGGCAGTATTAGTGATCAGCAAATCATGAATCTGTCACAGCTTCTAGATCTTTAGCTACCAGGAGATGCAATAATGGCAGACAAAGGATTTGAGATTGCCAAATACACAACAGCAAAAGAAATAGATCTTATAATTCCACCTAAGAGAAACAAGGATAGGAAAATGAGTGCCTCTGAGATAATTTAAGGCTTCGAATCCATGTAGAGAGGTACATGGCAGCAGTAAAAACTTTTCGGATCCTTGAGCAAGGTTTAGCTGACACGTCTCAGCCTAATGAGATTTGGAAAGTGTGCAATGCTTTAACCATGCTGTATCCACCATTAAACCCATAATTTGAACAGATTGAAAAAAGTACATATCAGCATCCAAGTGTAATAACATTTTTTGGCAAGACTTATAGTTTGATTTTTTTACATTTGATTAAATTCTATTTATGTCTTTGAGGAGGATCTCAATTTAAATGACACGTTTCGGATTTTATGTAGATACCTTGCTTCTTACTTTTATGATTTTTAAAAAAAATTGAAATTGTTCCATTATTGTGAAGATACCTCGCTGAGATAATCCTTTTGTTCTTGTAAATTGATTTTCATTATTACTAATTCAATATTAATGATTCATGCTAAAATATTTAGTTGTTTTAAACTTTGCCTGATGATTTCACATTAATTGATTTTTATAAAAATGAATTACAATTGCTCTTTTGTGTTTCCCTTTTATATTTTGTAAAATTGAGTTTTGGCTAATTTTTGGATGAATAAAAATAGTATTTACATTTTGTGACAACCCTGAAAAAATTGAATTTGTCATATATATAACTGGTTGTTTGTGCAAGAGGGTGGTTATTTTAGAAGATTGTGAGTGTCAAAACTACATGTTACTGTCATCTAAAAATTAACCCTGTCCCTGTTCACATAACTTTCTTAACATTGGAGAAAGTTAAAATTTGTGGGCCTGTTCTGATTGAGCCAAGCTCTATTTAAGATCAGATAATATTCTTTTATTGATCCAAATAAATGGAAATGTTTTTTGATAGCATTATACATTTTCACCTAAAAAATAAAACAATTGATCACAAGACATTTATAATAAATTATTTCAAACAGCCATTCAGTGAGTTTAGGGGAATAGTTTAATTTTACATCATGAAATTTTCAGACTTTCATCTAACTTTATGGATTCCACACCACCATAGCAAACAGTTGTCAATATACCGGTACATTCAATCACAAGACATAAATTTACATTTTCAATCTCTGTGCATCAGCTGTTAAATTATAGTTTATAGTTTTATAGACTTCATTTTAAAAAAAAAAATTATTAGTGGCAATGCCTTATATATATTATATACACCGCATTTACATTTCATGATTTGTTTTCAGGTACAGCTGAGCATGCATAGCTTAGAAAATATTTTTTATAGGCATTTAACCTGTCATTTTCAATTAAACATCAAAGCTGGAAAATACCAATAAAAACAATAGCTTGTAACTTAACAAGAATTAAAAATTGACAGATTGTTGCATTTACTTGCATAATTATGACAATTGAAGATTTTAAAAAATAAGTTAAAATTAACTTTCTGATACAGACAACCTGTAGATTGCTGCTAAATAAATTTGTATTGGTCCTCTCACTCTTTTCAGTAAAGAGACTTGCCTCTTTGCACTCGTGAAAACAGTTCAGGTACCACACCTAGAAAGAACTGCTTTAATTTGTCCTGCATATGTGACCAAAATATGGCATCAAAATAGATTCTTACCACGTGTAGATCTTTTAATTTCCAAACAAAATCTACCTATTTTGCCAGTTATGCCCACCTGACCTTGGATTTGGCAGAAATAGTGATGGGAACGTTTAAGCCCGATACTATTATTTTCTATGGCACAGAAGAAGGCTTTGTTTTCACATGACTCTTTCACTGTTAAATCTCTGCGGGTAAAGAAAGGGACGTTGATTTCCACCAAGCCCACAGATGGAAAACAATGATTACAACAAATTACAATGCCATCTGGACTGGCAGCCAAAAAACTATTCTTATCCATAAAGAGTCCACAGTGCTCTACTTGCAGACCTGGGTGCTCTTTTTGCATATTTTTAACATAAGCAACTCTGGAAACAGCTTCATGTGATCTTCCACTTTACAGAGGACACAGGAACACTGCGGTAGCCCAATACTTTTAAAATATTATCCACTGCAGTTTTATCCCTCTTATAGTTATTTGTCCAAAACTTGAACTTGTTAATCAACCCTGGTGAATAGCTCTCCACAGGGGATTGCTTGCCTGTCCTCTAGTTTCTCTTTCAATCCGAGTGATGTCGAAACTAGGAAGATTGAGCATATACTTTTCAAAAATATCCGTACAAGTTTTAGTTTTCAGGTCTGCAGAATCCTTAAAATTGTATTCCACATCAGGCAACAAAAATACTTTCTCACGAAACTCAGAGGACTGTGCTGTTGTTAACACATAGCCTGAATTAGGTTCCGCCAAGGAGAGCTTGTGATGCAGGCGAGAAAAATTTACAATTGGAGATGTAAGTATTTCTCGCTCAAGTAGCCGAAGTGGTCTCTGTCACTTTTTTGGGGCTTATTAGCCTTTTACGTTTTGGGACACTCCATGTGCAAGGTTGGGATGTGCATGCTGTCAGACCAATCTTCTTCTCACAAATGTGTGAAGCGTAGTAGAGAGCGGCAGCCACGTGATTACACGATCCCCCTTCTCTGAAAATAATTTTTTTTTAAATCTATTAATGTCATAAAACTGAAACATTTATGTGGTAACCTAAACAATGAAACTGTTTATGGACAAATACAAAAGTTAACGAGTCATAATCATAACTATTATAGAATGTTAAGGAAAATAAAATTAAGGAGGCGACAAGACTTTTTCTTTGATAACAAAACTCGCAAAATAACCTTAGTTTTATTAGTAGAAATAGTAATGACAGTGCTAGGTCTCCAACAGTCTATATCAGTATAATAAATACCAAGTCTTAATATCAAGCTAATCAGTACCATCTATAAGAGTCAATATAGCATCAAGATTATCAGTACAAAGTTTAGAGTCACCAATAATATCAAGATAATCAGTTTATCAATGTAACTTCCATTAGATATTTTTAGTTAAGATTTTTGTAAAATATTTTTAAAATTATATGGTCGTAGATATGAAACAATTTTAAGAATGATTTTATCCGAAATTTTTTTTTGAAGAATTCATTTGCAAACTATTTAAAAAATAAAATGGTGATATACTTTGAAGTTATGAAAAAACTCACTCAGAAACTTGTAATCTTTTGCATGTGTCCATAGGCAGGATATGACACTCATTACAGTTACAGTCATGGTAAGGTGATCTGAAACATATTTTTAAGAATTTATTTGCAAACTTTTGCTTTCAAATGAAAAAATTTAAGCCAAAATAAAAGGTAATTAAATGATCGACATATGAATACAATTTAAAGATATAAAAGCATTTATTGAATAACTTTGATAAATCAAGTATTAAAAAATGAAATATGATTTATGAAGTGAAGTACCGGTATACAATAAACTCACTTGGAAACTTGTGTGGTTCCAAACATAATGCCTAGAGAGAAGCATTGTGTAAAGGCCCAAACAAACTGATGTTCCTTGGCTTGGCTCAACAGGCAAGTTATGAGGTGACACTCATTACAGTCATACTCATATGGTGTGGTATAGGAAAAAGAATTTTTTTAATTAGTATGAGAATTTATTTGCAAACATTTTGTTTTAAAAACTAAGAAAACTGTAAGCCAAAATAAAGTAAAAGATTGACACATACCGGTAAATAAATACAATTTAGCTAATTCAGCCTTTATGTTGTGTTAGTAATCAAATATTGGTAAGTATTTAGGCCATGTTATGTGTTAGTGATAAAACATTGAGAAGTAATGGTAAACAAGAAAAGAATAAAACCCAACATTGTATGAAATTTATGGTATGATGAATTGAGCTCAAAAAATATTAGCTTCTTGGTGTCTGCTGCTTCCATAGCAGTTTTAAGATATAATAGCCTTTATTAAATAAATTGGATAAATCAAGTATTAAAAAAATTAAATAATAGCGATATACTTTATAAAGCTATGAAGTGAAGTACTGGTACAACCTAAAACTCACTTGAAAACTTGTGTAGTTCCAAACATTACAATGCCTAGAGAGAAGGGTTGTGTAAGGCCCAATCAAACTGATAATCTTTTGCATGGGTCCATAGGCAGGATATGACACTCATTACAGTTATAGTCATGGTAAGGTGATCTGAAACAGATATTTATAAGAATTTATTTGCAAACTTTTGCTTTCAAAGGTGAAAAGAATTTAAGCCAAAATAAAAGGTAATTAAATGATCGACATATGAATACAATTTAAAGATATAAAAGCATTTATTGAATAACTTTGATAAATCAAGTATTAAAGAAAAATCAAATAGCGTCATACTTTATGAAGCTATAAAGTGAAGTACCAGTATACTATAAACTCACTTGAAAACTTTTGTGGTTCCAAGCACTTTTGTGGTTCCAAGCATTACATTACAATGCCTAGAGAGAAGCATATTGTAAAGGCCAAATCAAACCGATAATCTTTTGCTTGGGTCCATTGGTAGGTTATGACACTCATTACAGTCACATGGTGTGGCTAAAGGAAACAATTTTTTAAATTAGTATGATAACTTATTTGAAGACAATTTGCTTTAAAAACTGAGAAAAATGTAAGCCAAAATAAAGTAAAATATTAAAATTCAATTTAGCTAATTTAGCCCATTTGATGTGTTAGTAATAAACAAATATTGTTAAGTATTTTGGCCATCTGATGTGTTCAAATGTTACGAGAAGTAACGGTAGATAAGAAAAGACTAAAACCCAACATTGTATGAAATTCATGGTATGACGCATTAAGCTCAAAATATTTTAGCTTCTTGGTGTCTGCTGTTTCCATACCAGTTTTAATATATAACAGCATGTATGTATTAACTTGGATAAATCAAGTAGGTCTACTTACAAAAAGAAGTGATTTTTTGAAGTGAAGTATGTAGAAACTCACTTGGAAACCTGTGTAGCTCCATTCATTAAAATGGCTAGAGAGAAGAGTTGAGTAACAGACAGGTGGAACTGATCATCTATCTAGGATCCATTGGCATGATTCACTCTGAAGATTAGTCATATGGGATGACTGGAAATACAGAAAATGTTATAAAGAATTCGTTTGCAAACTTTAGCTTTAAATACTAAGAATTTAAACCAAAATTAAGGTAAATGAAAGGTTAGACTCCCATTAAATTTTATTAACATTGAAAACAAAGAAAAGCAGCTGAACACAGTCGAGAAAATAGTTGCCACTATAACTTAAAACTCACAAAAAATCAATGGACAATTGCTGTGTCACACATACATATCACTCCAGTGGTGNGGGGGGGTTGGACATCTGAGATATTTCTTCCCCAGTACGTTATGTGAATGATGATAAAAGAAAAGAAGTGAACAACTTTTCTAATATTCTCGAGCTAACAGATCCCTTTCCAAAGACAATGAATTCAGATCAAGGCATCGAAGGGGATAGAAGCATTACAATGTTACTATCCATTGCGGATAGCCTAATTCGTCTTCACCATACAAAGAATGGATTAATAAAATGTATCCAAGCAACTGCAATGGATAACAACTATCAAGTGGCTACATCCCCATCCATACGATGGGATAAAGTCTAGATAATTAAGTCTCAAAATTGAAGGGCCAACACGTAGCCTATCCCAAATTGGAGAGGCGTGTCGAACATTGAGAAAATATTAAAGCACAAACAATTTAACTAAGATTAAGTTCAATCAAATCAGAATTATCATACATTAAATATGTAACCAAACTGTGTATATGGTAATACAATGTATTCGAATAAATAAATGAAATAAAAATTTTAATGTTTGTCCAACTCACTAGATGTTTAGAATAGCCGGTCAGGGTAGGCCTACACTATGTTCTCTGTCCGGGTGCCGATCTTAAAATGAACTCCCGATGCTTACAACGGAATATCTAGCGAGTTTAGCCTAATTGGTCATTGGCTAATCACGGTCAGATGATGTCTGAGTCCAAGGAACTTACTCGAATATTCCAATGTATCATGACCTTGCGACCGGTGGCGAAGAGGGGGAGGGGGTGTTTGGCGTTCCTCCTACGTAATTCAATCCGCTGGTCAAAAAATCTGTGAGTAGAGAGAGTGATCCACGTGGGGTGACAGCAATCAACGGGGAATAACTCGTCCTGAACCCCACCCCCCTCCAAAAAAAAAGGGTGTGTGTCTGTGTGTGTGTGGGGGGGGGGTGTTCTAAGAAGGTTGCTCTTTCCACATTGAACTTGGTCAGCTCCTTTCGTCACAGTAAGGTTGCCAGGTGTCTACCATTTCGTCACATTAAGGTTGCCAGGTGTCTACCATTTCGTCACAGTAAGGTTGCCAGGTGTCCACCATTTCGTCACAGTAAGGTTGCCAGGTGTCTACCATTTCGTCACAGTAAGGTTGCCAGGTGTCTACCATTCCGTCACAGTAAGGTTGCCAGGTGTCTACCATTTCGTCACAGTAAGGTTGCCAGGTGTCCACCATTTCGTCACAGTAAGGTTGCCAGGTGTCTACCATTTCGTCACAGTAAGGTTGCCAGGTGTCTACCATTTCGTCACAGTAAGGTTGCCAGGTGTCTACCATTTCGTCACAGTAAGGTTGCCAGGTGTCCACCATTTCGTCACAGTAAGGTTGCCAGGTGTCCACCATTCCGTCACAGTAAGGTTGCCAGGTGTC